TAAAAAAAAAAAAAAATTATTTTTCCAAAAAATTAAAAAAAAAAAAAAAAAAAAGGGATCTGGCTAGTGGTCAGTCTATGGTCTCCACATGTTCTTGAATCTTCATGTAGTCTAGCTGCAAAATGTATCCTAGACTAGTTGCCACGCAAATTTAAAAGAATTGAACATGCATGCCCATAATAAATAGTAACATACTCGCAGGTCTAATATTAATAAAGAGCTCACAAGCCCAAAATTAATAAATGGATCGCACACCCTAAACAACAAAAATTAAAATTATCCATTCAATATATTCACATGGTCGAGTCCAAAATCATCCATTAAATATACATTCATCACATAAATGCATTGCTATAAAATATCTAATATTATATGCAAATATGTTTTGAATTTCTAACAATTAAGTTCATCTAATTAGACAAATGAATTGGAACAATTAAATGATTAATTAATCAAATTAATCCATTAATTTATTGTAAATTTATTTAATTAAACTCAAATTTAACTAGAATAAAATTTTAATACTACCAAATTAGAGTCTAACTCTAATCTCAAAATTTTAGGGTAAATTGAAATGATATTTTAATTTAAGATAAAAATCTTACAAAAAAAAATCACTAAATAAATTTAGGGTCAAAGCTTTAAATTTTAGTTAAAATACAGTTTCAACGATAATTTAAAAATTGTGAATCTTAAATAATATTTAATTGGATCAAAATTGAATTTAATGTCAAACTCTTTAGAAATTCAAATTTAAATCCTCTTCAAAAATTCATATTCAAAACTCTTTTTGAAATTGCATTTTGACCCTTATTTAAAATTATAAACAAGCTCTTCAATTTCTCAAATTGCAAGCATGCACTTACAGAACCACAGCATGACTCCCTGAATCAAAATTATAGGCATGGCCCTGCAATTTCACAAAATGCACATAAGGCCCCTGCCTCCAACACTTTGAAAACCTTAAAAATTAAATTAGATTTTAGAGATGGTGTTGGTCAAAGTCCCTCGGATGATGCAGTCAAAAGTCATCGCTTTCCAATGGCAATCGCTTCTTACCCCTATAGCAACTCGGGTGATTCCTGCTTATGTCACCGCTATGGGATACGCGAAAGCGCTATTGCACACCGTAGTTGCGCTCGACAAGGCGCGTCTCCGCATGAGTTGTGTCGTCGTCACCTGTGACGTCCTTCCAACCCACTTTTGACCAAAAAAATATTTCAGAAGATGAAGATAATTTTCTTAAAAGCTAGAAGCCAGAAATAAATGACAATTAACCATTGATTGCTCCCAAGGTTCAAAAATAATTTTGACCAAACACAAAGTCGAGTCGAATACCACTGTTAGAAATTTATTTATACATGCACAATAGAATTTGAAAATAATTTCAATTCCCTTAAAGGATTATCTTTGTATTTAGATAGAAATCATGATTAGAATTATACCTTTAACAAGTTTTTCAAACTTATTTGAAAAGCTTGATCACAAAAAATTATGATCTTTGCATGCCTTTGGGAATCACGATCTTTCTACAGCACAGCTATCCAATAATTCAACCTCTAATAGTTATCCCTATTGGGTTGTGTGCTCATATAGTATAGTTTTGCTGATATAAAGATAACAAAAATAATTTTTTATATTGAATAAAATTATGTTTGCTTTATTTGTTGCATTCATTTATTATTGAGCATGCAAAATTAAAGTGCCTATGATCACTTATGATATTATGAGTTGGGTACCTGCGTTGAAAAGTACAGTGAGACACATCTTATATTTTGATCATAACTAATTTGTTCACAACCAATGCATAAGGGTTGTCACCTTAATTGGAAGATTGCAGTGTTGACTAATTCACTATTCAGGTTTGTGATTTGTCCTTATCACAGAAATAGTTAAAGGTAACACTAGTATACTTGGAGTGTATTGAACGGACTATGTGTCGAATTTAATTTTATAGCATGACCATGCGGAGAAGTAAATTTCACGTGACCCCTGTGTAATTCATCTGAATACTTTGACATGATTATGTATATCTTTTTATGATTTTAATTGTACTTTGATTTATCAATGGGTGAGATCAATTTGATTGGTCAAATATCTCGATGAATTGGAAATTTGAGAATGAGCGGAGTAGAGAACATGAATTCGTATCGGGAACCATCACCCTGAAAAATGGGTAGAGTGACTACTTAAATATTTCTATTGAACGATTAAAATCTAAGCTGAGTATTTAGAGACGACTAAACTTCGACATTTGTGATTTGTTCACAAGATCGTTGAAGAAAATGAAACTTAAATTAATGAGAATAATTAGAGGGGAAAGACGATCATTTATGCTTGTACCTAATTATTGAATCTCGGATGGGAATAAAATACATATAGGCCAGGTCAGAGGAAAGTGTTACAGATTTATTGGTTTCTATGATCTTATTTATTCCGAGAGTTTAGTCTTTTGCCTTTACTGGAAAAATCAAAGACTAATGATTAGATTGGATGGTTTAGGGTCGACTAGACAGGATCTAATTATTGGAGCTTGAAAAATATATGTCTGATTAGGTCCCTGTGATAGCTCTATAAAGTATTGGAACTTAATTACGGTAATTATAATAGTTTTGAGTTTAATTGTAATTACAATAAAGTTTTGTACTTGGTTGTAATTACTATGAAATTTATAAAATTAATTGTAATTGTAATTGAAGATATAGGACCATGCATGCAATTAAATGTAAACGAATTAGAATTGGACTTAAATTAGAACTCTTACTTGAGTTTTAATTAGAACTCTTGTTTGAATGTGAAATTATAATCGTACTAGAATTGTATCATCTTTTTCTCTATAAATAGAGATAGATGGATAGAAAAATTCTACAATATTCATAATTTCATAAGATTCAAATTAATAGAGAGAAAAAGAGAGATAAAATATTTTATTTTCGTATTGTCCAATTCAAGAATTAGTTTTGGATTAATTGAAAGAAGTCTTTGCGTCGGAAAATACCATAGAAGACTTGAAGGTTTGAAGCACCAAGATTCTTGCAATTAAAGGAGACGAAAATTCGCAGATCAGAATTAATTCAAGGTTGATTATTGAACTTAGGTATTAGACTCGAATCCTTTAATTTTGTTATAACATACACATAAACATTTAGACGGTCTTGCTTATTGAATTAAAAAAAATTAATTTCTGATTAATTCCCTTCCGTTTTCCAACAACTGGTATCAAAGCAATCTAGATCGTTCATGTGCTTGTTATTTTTGAATCTTGATTGCATGTTCTAGTCAAGCGATGTCTAGGAAAATTTCATATATTGATTGAATTATTTTAAATTGTGAACCAATTATTTGTGGCCAGTCTTTGATGTAATTTGTTATTTTGAATCTGTAATAAGATAGGTGGATTACGACTCCATCATCTTGATTTAATTTTCTATACAATTAGATTTAAAATTTATGAGCCTACGGGACATAAGAATTTGTGTAATTCTTATAATTTTTGGATTTTGTAAGTTGACTGAAAATTGAAGAAGAAGGCTTAAAGATGGAGGACAAAGAATTCAAAGATTTGTATTTAAAAAAAAAAAATTGTCGCAGAGAGATTTAACTATCAGCTAGCGGCAGACAGTAGCTCTCTGCTAGCCCAGGCAAACAATTTTTTGGCTGTCTGTGCAGTAATTTTTTTCAAAAAAAATTATGAAATAATATATATATATTCGAAATTAATTTTCACAGGTACGGTGGCAAAGACCTTCATTGTTATTGGAGAGCTACTGTTGGATCATTGAAGTTTTTGGGCTGAAGTTTTAGATTAAATATTGGGTTTAGATCTATTTAGTTTTTAAATTATTTCTTGAGTCTTTTAGGGCCACAAATAATTGTTATTTTTATCGCTTTATGAATATTTTAAATTATTGTTTGAAATATTGTCATTCTTGATATCATGACATATAGATTTATTTATGACATCACTCGTGATACTATGAATAGGATGCATATCGTTAAACACAGATTTTTCTTTGATTAATTTAATTTAATTTAAATTTTTTTGAATAGAAAAATCGTAATAATTAAACTGTATATTAATTTAATTAATATGAACAGTTGGTAATTATTTCAATTAAAATTCATTATTTTAAAATATTTATTGGGAGAGGGTGTTCATTTAAATAAAAACCCACGGTCTCCTTTTGTCAAACCATAAGCAAAGTAACGCGCTTACCTCGTGCCGGTAATGCAGCGGACTCCTTATAGGAGGGTCACATGGTTCAAGTTGCTTGATTGGATTTCTTTATGATAAAATCGTCTAAATAGAATATAATTTGTGATCATCCTATATATGGCGAAATTATTTTCAAGTGTTTAGAGATTGAGACAAAGGTTGTACACTCAAATAAAAATTATCTACGAACCTCCTATAGAGGCTCTCGTTTATAATTTTGGTGACCAAATAAAATGATGCTAGGCTTAATATAGACATTTGTCATCAGATATATTTTGCTTAGTGGGAGGGTCTGAGCTTGATCAGTGGACACATTGACCTTTCCTATAGAGAGGCATGTTGGATCACATGGATCAAGTCGTCATTGCATTACCATAGTAAGATGGATCTACACATGCATTTATGCATCATATGTTAAATTATCATTCGCTGTTCAATTTTGAATATGCAGTAAATTGTTATTTTTTAGCAAAATGTCTCTCAGTGCTTTTTTCATTATTCTAAAACAAAACCAACTTGTCGGGGATAATTATGTGGATTGGAAACGTAATTTGATGTTTGTGCTTATTCTCAAAAAAACTTGATTTTGTGGTCAAAGAAGAATGTCCCGAGGAACCTACTGAGACTACAGGCAAGTCCAAGAGGGCTGCGTATGATAAGTGGATCACTGCTGAAAAGATGGCTCGCCATTACATTTTGGCATCCATGTCAAACGTGTTACAGCAAAAGCTTGAAAGTCAGGAGACCTCTTATGACATACTAGAAAGCCTGAAGGCCATGTTTGGACATCAAAGTAGGAGGGCTCGCTTTGAGGCCATTCGCACCTTATTGAACATCCACATGAAATTCGGAGCGCCTGTGAAGGATCATATGTTGACTATGATTGCACACTTCAATGTGGCGGAGAATCTGGGTACAACTATTGATTAGGAAACTCAAGTTGATATGGTGTTGAATTCTTTATCTGACATGTTTTCACAGTTTATTGTGGACTATCACTTTTACAAGATGAATATGCCATTAACTGAGTTGATGAATGAGTTGCAAAATGTGGAAAGTGGTCTCAAGGGTAAGGGTGGCCATGTTCATTCGGCAATTGCTAGTTCCTCTAGCTCCAAGCCAAAAGGTAGAATTGGAAAGAAGAGGAAGAGATCTAACAAGAAGTCAGGAAGCAACAAAAAGCCCCAATCAAATGGAATGCCGAAAGGCAAATGTTTCCACTGTGGTCACAAAGGACACTGCAAGAAAGACTGCCCTGATACACTAGCTAAAAAGCTGGGTGTTGGTGAGGTTTTTATTGTTGAGTCATGTTTGGTGGTTGATTCTACAAATTCCTGGGTTGTAGACTCTAGAGTCACTAATTATATTGCATGTATATGTAGGTGCTTCAGGAGAGCAGTAGACTCAATGAGGGCCAATTTAAAATTACTGTCGGCACAGGAGCTATAGTTTCAACAAGAGCAATAGGTGTAGTTTACTTTTATTTCAATAGAGGCGTTTAATTCTTAAAGACTGTTATTCTGTCCGACGGATAAAGTGAAATTTGATTTCTGTTTCTTGTTTAATAGGACAAGGTTATCATGCTTTATCTTTTAGAGAATAAAGCTCATATTTTTGCTGGATATTTGATGAATGATCTTTATATTTTAATTGTGCCACAAAATAAAAAAATGTTACTTCTGCAAACCATGAACGAATGTCTAACCATACTAGTAATACTTATTTATGGCATCTTAGACTTGGATATATTAACCTTAACATGATACAAAGATTGGCTAGAGATGGTCCACTCAACACACTTAAGGTTGAACCATTGCCAGTTTATGATTCTTGTTTGGAGGGTAAAATGACCAAGAGATCCTTTCTAGCAAAAGGACATAGAGCCAAAGAAATATTAGAACTAGTTCATTCTAATGTATGTAGACCCATGAATACACTTGCGAGAGGGGATTATGAGTATTTTATCACTTTTATCGATGATTACTCTAGATTCGGATACATCTACCTAATGACTCAAAAGTCAGATGCTTTTGAAAAATTCAAAGAGTATCAGGCTGAGGTTGAGAAACATTTGGGTAAGAATATTAAGACACTTCTATCAGATCGAGGTGGTGAATATCTCTCGGGAGAATTCAGGGACTACTTGACAAAAAATGGTATTGTTTCTCAACTGAGTGCGCCAGGTACACCCCAACAGAATGGCATTTTAGAAAGGAGAAATAGGACATTGTTAGGCATGGTTAGGTCAATGATGAGTTTTGCAACTCTACTTACCTCATTTTGGGGATATGCACTAGAAACAACAGCATATGTTCTTAACTTAGTTCCTTCTGAGTCGGTTCCCAAGACTCCTCTAGAATTATGGAATGGACGCAAGCCTAGCTTATGTCATATTCGAATTTGGGGATATTCGGTTCATGTGCTGAAAGGGAAGGCAGAGAAGTTGGAGTCTAGATAAGAGATATGCTTGTTTGTGGGATACCCTCAAGGTACCAGGGGATATTATTTTTATAGTCCTCTAGATAGGAAAGTCTTTGTTAGCACAAATGCCACTTTCCTAGAGGATAAGTATATTAATGAACGTCAGTCCAAAAGCAAGGTTGTGTTGGAAGAAATGAGTGGGAGCAACTCCACCACATCGATTCCTGAAACACAATCTCATGACAGAATTGTCAGATATACCTAAATAATGTGTTTTGAGTGGGAGAGATGAGTCATCCAATTCCATGGATCAAGTAAACGTTGAAGGTATTGAGGAGGCAATGGAACCACTTAATGGTGATACCAACATTGATACAAACGTTAAAATTCCAAACGATGCCATACTCTAGGATCCACCACCCTTTAGACAAAGTCAGAGGGTTATCAGACCACCTTCTAGGTACTTGTTAGTTGGAGGTCTAATCAGGTGATCTCTACAACATAAGTTGATGACCCGACTTCATATAAGGAGGCCAAGAATGATATGGATGCAGATTTATGACAACAAGCTATGAATGCTAAAATGAAATCTATACATTCCAATCAGGTCTGGGAACTTGTAGATGCACCAAAAGGGATAAAACCAATCGGGTGCAAGTGGGTTTATAAGAGAAAGAGAGGAGCAGATGGAAAAGTGAAAACTTTCAAAGCAAGGCTAATGGCTAAGGGTTTTACCCAACGAGAAGGTATCAATTATGAGGAGACCTTTTTGCTTATGGCTATGCTTAAATCTATCAGAATTCTTTTATCCATTGCAGCTCATTTTGATTATGAAGTGTGGCAAATGGATGTCAAGACAGCATTTTTGAATGACCATCTTGAGGAATGTATCTATATGGTGCAACCAGATGGATTCATAGAACTCGGTCATGAAGATAAAGTTTGAAAGCTTCAGCGGTCCATTTATGGGTTGAAGCAAGCATTAAGAACTTGGAACAAGAGATTCAATGAAGTGATTAAGACATATGGTTTTGATCAGAACTTTGACGAACCTTGTGTATATAAGAAGATACAGGAGAAAATTGTAATTTTCCTCGTGCTATATGTGGATGATATTCTACTCATTGGAAATGATGTTGGAGCATTATCATCTACGAAAGCTTGGTTGGCCCAAAAATTTCATATGAATGACTTAGGAGAAGCTAGCTATGTTCTAGGCATTCAGATATTAAGAGATTGAAAGAACAAGTAGATAGCTTTATCCCAAGCTTCATACATTGATAAAATACTTGTCGGATTTTCCATGCAAGATTCCAAGAAAGGTAATTTACCTTTCAGACATGGAATCTAGCTCTTTAAGGATCAGTACCCTAAGACTCCAGAAGAGGTAGAATGCATGAGCAGGATATCTTATGCATCGGCAGTTGGTAGTCTCATGTATGCTATGTTGTGCACTAGACATAACATTTGTTATGTTGTTGGTATGATGAGTTGATATCAATCTAACCCTGGACCAGAACACTGGGTGGATATAAAGCATATCCTGAAGTAACTTCGAAAGACAAGGAATTACATGCTAGTTTACTCATCACCAGATCTTGTTCTAGTGGGTTATACAGATTCAGACTTCTAGGCTGATAAGGACTCTGACAAGTCTACATTAGGATCACTGTTTACACTTGGTGGCGGGGCCATTATTTGGAGAAGTATCAAACAATCATGTATTGCTGAGTCTACCATGGAGGTTGAGTATGTGGCAGCTTGTGAAGCCGCTAAGGAAGCAGTGTAGCTCAAAAAATTCCTGAGGGGTATCGAGGTGATGACTATATCTGCACAGCCCCTGACATTGTATTGTGATAACAGTGGAACAGTGGTAAATGCTAAAGAACCAAGGAGTCATCAAAGGGGTAAACATATTGAATGGAAATATCATCTCTTGAGAGAGATAGTTAATAGAGGAGATGTGATTGTCAGTAAAATTGCTACTGAGGATAACCTCGCGGATCCACTTACAAAGAGCCTATCGGCTAAGGTTTTTAATGGACATGTGCAAAGTATGGGGTTACAGGACATGACACATATACTCTAGGGCAAGTAGGAGATTTGTTGGGTTGTGTGCCCATATAGTATAGTTTTGCTCATATAAAAATAACAATAATAATTTTTATATTGAATAAAATTATGTTCACTTTATTTATTGCATTTATTTATTATTGAGCATGCGAAATTGAAGTGCCTATGATCACTTATGATAATATGAGTTAGGTACTTGTGTTGAGAAGTACAATGAGACACAACTTATATTTTGATTATAAATAATTTGTTCACAACCAATGCATAAGGGTTGACATCTTATATTGGAAGGTTGTAGTGTTGACCAATTCACTATTCAGGTTTGTGATTTGTCCTTATCACAGAAATAGTTAAAGGTGACACTAGTACGCTTTGAGTGTATTGAATGGACCACCTGTCGAATTTAATTCTATAGCATGACCGTGTGGAGAATTAAATTTCACTTGACCGCTGTGTATTTCATCTGAATCCTTTGACATGATTATGCATATTTTTTCACGATTTTAATTGTACTTTGATTCATCAATGGGTGAAATCAATTTGATTGGTCAAATATCTCGATAAGTTGGGAACTTGAGAATAAGCAGAGTAGAGAACATGAATTCATGTTGGGAACCATCACCCTGGAAAATGAGTAGAGTGACTACTTAAATATTTTATGTTGAACGGTTAAAATATGAGCTCAGTGTTTAGTGATGACTAAACTTCGACATCTGTGATTTGTTCACAGGACCATTGAATAAAATAAAACTTAATTTAGTGAGAATAATTAGAGGGGCAAACGGTCATTTATGCTCGTATCTAATTATCGAATTTAGAACGGGGATAAAATACATATACGGCAGGTCAGAGAAAAATATTACAGATTTATTGGTTTTTGTGATCTTATATATTCCGAGAGTTCAGTCTTTTGCCTTTAGTGGAAAAATGAAAGACTAATGATTAGATTGGTTGGTCTAGGGTCAACTAGACAGGATCTAATTATTGGAGCTTGAAAAATATATGTCCGATTAGGTCACTGTGGTAGCTTCATAAAGTATTGGTACTTAATTACGGTAATTATAATAGTTTTGGGCTAATTGTAATTACAATAAAGTTTTGTACTTGGTTGTAATTACTGTGAAAGTTATAAACTTAATTGTAATTGTAATTGAAGTTCTAGGACTACACGTGCAATTAAATGTAAACTAATTAGAATTGGATTTAAATTAGAACTCTTATTTGAGTTTTTATTAGAACTCTTATTTGAATGTGGAATTATAATTGTACTAGAATTGTATCATCTTTTTCTCGATAAATAGAGACTAGACGGACAGAAAAATTTTACAACATTCACAAGTCCATAAGATTCAAATTTATAGAGAAAAAAAGAGAGAATATTTTATTTTCTTGTTGTTCAAAATTCAAAAATTAGTTTCTGGATTAATTGAAAGAAGGTGCCCATACGCCAGTATAGTTTTTGCATTGGAAAATACCATAGAAGGCTTGAAAGTTTGAAGCACGAAGATTCTTGCAATTAAAGGAGATGAAAATTCGCGGATCAGAGTTAATTCAAGATTGATCATTGAACTTGGGTAAAAGATTCGAATCCTTTAATTTTGTTATAACATTCACGTGAACATCTAGACGATCTCGCTTATTGAATTAAAGAAAATTTTAATTTCTGATTAATTCTGCTTCCGCATTCCAACAATCCACACACTAGAACAATAATGATATATAAGGGATTCTTTTTCTTGTATTAACAAGATTATGATAATTGTGAGATGTGTTATGTTGTAATTGCAATCACATTGCTATTATGACAACTTATGAAAATCTCAAACAATAATTGTTTATTTATGGATGTTTATCCAATAAATAATTAATCTAATTAATTAAACTTGGTTCATAAGTTAATTAATCACATCAATTAACTTAAGCCCATAACAAACAATAGAATTACTTAATTCTACAAATGTTCGATAGTTGTCAATTAATTCATAATATCATTCTTCTAATTCTCACTTTTGTATGTGACAAAATAGGTTCTTGGTTATGATATCTGACCATGCGAATTATTATTTTTGATCTAATCAAAATAAGATAAATTAAAACTCTTCTTTTAATTAATCATTAATTAATTAATTTATATTCATAATCACAAATTGACATAGGGCAATAAATGTGATCGGAATTGATACATGGCCAAACAAAACCAAAATTGTTCGTTTATTTTAAAATTATAATCTCTTTTCCCATATGTTTTGATCATTTACGAGATATGGAAGTTTGTCAATCTTGATTTTCAATCATATCTTTCATCCCACTCTTAAGCAATAATCGTTGAAATTCCTTTGAACTTATGTACTTACCTTGGTCAACTATTTCAAAATCAACTTAATTGAATGAAACATAGATCATATTATCTTACTATTTAAGAGTGATGAATCCTTTATTGATCATTCACAACCTTTATGTATTTTTTATATACCAAATGATGTTGTATTAGAGACTTTTGGAAGAGCAACTTTTGACATCACCAAATTATGATAGTCCTTATATAAGGTATTTTGATGACCTCAAGTCGAAGGACTAATTTACTACCGAATGTAGAGATTAATCACTAATGCTAAGATAGTTATCCATGTGAAATCTCTGTTGTAGATCTTCAATATTTTTTTCTCTTAATAAAGTGTCCACACATCCATTTAAATATCACTATGTTTTAGTTTGTGAGTTATCAGTAAGAAATGTCACATGTGTTGGCCTTTTCATAACAATGATATCCGTATTTCTTTATTATTCACGATTACGGATAATTTAATATTCGATCGTATATAATTTATTTTTCACTATCACAACTCATTCTGTTTAATAACTTACCAAGATTTGAATCTACGAACTCTATTAATTTAATTTATCATAATAGCAATTCAATTAACTAATAGATCTCCCACAAATTATAATGCATTAATCATATTAAAAGTGTTTGCACCCACAATTGATTAAACATATGGTAGAATGCTTACAAGGACTACATGAACAACTTTCTCGGTCTTTTGTAGGTTGTTCGAAGGTCATGTTCTTCCTCATCCCTCATGATTTTCCAACTAGTGAACGAGCATCTCCATTGTACATTTTTTGTAGTTTCAGTAAGTTATCAATAAGTGAAGATTAAGAAATTTTGGTGCAATTAAAAAATGCTATAAAAAAAGAAATCTGCAATGTCAATATAACCCTCTATTTGTTATTTTTTTCATCAAAATGTGTATGTACATTTTTTTTTTAAATATTATATGTGTACGTTATAGTTTATAATGAATAATACTATTTATCTCCTCATGCGAATATCGTCATAATATGGCATTGAATGATAAGACAATAAAATGGATTTTATATTCATATATTTGATGAGCCTTATTATTTCATGATACATCACCGCCTCAAAGATAGGTGATTATCTTTATGTAGATAAATATTATTATTATTATTATTATTATTATTATTATTATTATTATTATTATTATTATTATTATTATTATTATAAATTTGCTCTTGAGATTCGAAAATCTAAACTCATTTGGGAAGAATTCATAAACGTTTTGATTTATAAATAGATAGAAATTAGGAATGACAAGTTGACAGTATTTGTCGATCGTTTGAAATGTATGATTGAGAATGAAATTTGATCATTTATAAAATTATTTATATAAATTTTGTCAAGCGAAGGTTAAATTAATTATGGATAATGGTATGTGTACACCTCAACGTATACACGCGGGTTTACACCCCCTTACATGGAGGGGATCCACGCATAATTTATTGTATGTGGATCCCCTCCATATGAGGTGTAAACACGTCTTACACCGTTATGTATAGGTAGCATTATCAATTAATTATTACTTGGGATATTTGCGATGCTGGGGGAGGAGCTGCTTTGGAACAATCACATGAACATTAATTGTGGATACAATAAAGAGGGTCACAACTTGCAAAGATTTTTGGTTTAAATGTATGCACATGTTAAAGCGACATGCTAGTAATAGGAAATTCAATTATTTAAATCGAAATTTACGCAGGCCTATCAAATAATCTTTATAAATTAAGTTTGAATTTAATTATAATAAAGTAATTTTAGATTTAGCCAACAAATGATACACGAGGGGGACACAATGTAGGGGAGTTTTGAAGTAATAAATTTAAGTTAAAAAGGCATGAAGTAGTCGAACAAATACTTATTCAAAACAAGTGAAAAAATAATTACTAAAAAGGTGAATAGAGCTCGACCGATGCAAAGACAGAGAGAAAGACCTCGATAAAGTGAAGCTCGACTTGTGTATATGCTTAGGAGACGACCCTGATGGATTAGATCGTGGAGAGTGGAGAACGATTGAGTTGATTGTGTGAAATTTGACTAAAAGCAATGTACGAGATCTTTTGTTAGCAGGATAAAAGTTGGCTACAATTCTACTCAAGTTCGGATTCCATACAAGAAGGCATGTATAAATTGAGTTCTATCAGTTGACTAATTACCTATCAAAATGAATTGGACTTGACTTACTCCTAAAGGTGGGCTCCACTCTGAAATTCATTTGCACGAGTATCATACGATCATGTGTGTTAGAGATGGCAAAATAACTCGTCCTGAGGAGAGGCGCGGGGCAGGGATGCCTTGGTCCGAACTTGCTCCATAAATTAAAAATAATAATAATAATAAAAAATTATTAGGTTGAGCATTATTTACTTTCGATTTTAAAATTTTGAATTTGTATTTTATTTTCTAATAATAGCATAACTCGAAGGGGACATCAAACGTGGCAAGGACCTGAATCCGCCAACTGCCATCTCTATTTGTGTACTAGCTGAGTTCGTCGAATGAAGAAGTCACACCTATAAGAAGCATCATCATGTGTTGCTCTTCATGATTATCATGTGACCTCCTCAACCAATTACAATGATCGAAGACTCTACGTTATCACGTCATTTTAATTAATGTCCTTCCTCAATGGCTCAACCAATTACGATGAGTGATGACCCTACGTCATCTTAATTAATTTCAATATTTTAATGGATTGATTTACGTGTACCGATTTTTTTTATCTAATTTCTTATCGACTACTCACAATAAAATGTGTGGACCACATTTTGGAATATTTTTATTCACGCGAATGCTGCGTGCATGCGAGAGGGGATAAACAATTCGATACGCTCTTGAATGTAGAAATAGATTATTCTATTTTAATTGACTCACGTGATGAGGCATGAACATATACGTTAGGATATCAAATGCCCGTCTAGGGATGGCAATCGGGCTCGCCGGCTCGAGCCGCCCGTGGCTCGGCTCGGGAAAAGCTCGAGTCGGCTCGGCTCGGCTCGGGCCGAGCCCCATTTTGGGGACACGGGCTTTGCCCGAGCCGGCCCGTGAGCTCGCGATCTTTACACCAAA